CCATGTTCCCATATGAAATGGGGGCAGTTGGGGGCGGGGTGCAGAAGGCATCTGCCTGTACTGTGTGCCTTCCCCACACCAGGCGTGTGATGTTGGTTGTCTTGTGAATCCTGACCACATTTGTCTGATGTAGGGTTTTCTACACTAGCTTGACAGAGGAGGAAACTGAGGCTCAGAGGGGCCTGACAGCAGGGTGTGGCTTCTAGTTGAATCTTGGATAGCATGGCCTCACAGATACTGAGTTTTACATGTGTGCAGTGGTTTCCAGGCATCCTCTTTTTTTTTTTTTTAAATGGAAGAGTCCACTTTAAACTAAAGAGCTCAACATAAAATTGCTTCCAGAGTAGCCCAGTGGGGGAGAGAGAGAAGCAGAGAGCTGTGGTTAGAGCAGAGTCCCGGGCGAGCTGCCCCACCTTGTATACTCCCCTCCTCCTGGCCAGAGCTCCCAGGGGCAGCTAGGAGCCCACTGTACACACCGTGCCACCTGGGGCATCAGGCAAGACACAGGCCAGTCTGGGTGAGAAGTTGTATCCAGTTGGCACTCTGGTGCCTGCCCAGAGTTTATCCTGGCCACCTTCCCAGCCTGAGGCCCTCTGGATGCAGGTTACTGGGGGCGGGGGTGGGGGGGTGGGGAAGAGAAGGGCCATGGCCTCAGCAGTCAGGGTGCATTCCCCTGGGGGGTCTGCAAGGGGCCAGATGGGGACCTGATCACAGCTGCAGAGTGTGGGCCTTCTGCTCACACCTGTGCAGGGTTCTGAGGCTTGAGGCTGTGGGATGGAGCCAGAGATGGGCCCAGTGCAGTGACTCAGATTTTCTCTGCAAGGCAAAGGGCCTCTGAAAGAGTATTACAGCGGTCTCATCAGCCAGAAGCGTTTCCAGCACATCCAGGTCTGTACTCCGTGGCTGGAGGCTGAGGACTATCCCCTGCTTCTAGGTAAGGGCATCCAGCAGGGAGAGAGCTGGGGTTTAAAAGGGAATATTCTAGGATAGGGCAGGGACAGAGTTTTTCTGAAAAGGGCCAGATAGTAAATGTTTTATTTGCTTCTATTGCATAGTCTTCTTTGTTTTTGTAATCCTTTATAAATTAAAAGCCATTCTTAGCTCCAGGGCCATACACACACAGGCCTCAGGCTGGATTGGGCCCTGCTTAGGGACTATGTGGGGCCAGGAGATGCCACCTGCCAGGAACCTGTCGGAGGAGCTCTTGGCTGAACTCCAGGGGACCAGGCTGCTTCCTGATGCGCCGGCTTCTCCCGCCTGCTGGGCCCCAGACCTGTTTGTCGGGGTTCTGTCCTCTCAGCCTCTGAGCCCTCCATTCAGTCCTACTCTTCCATCTGGGCAGGAGGGCTGGGCCTGGTCTTGGGTTGGGGTTCCCCAAGTTCCCCAAGTCTGGGAGGGCAGTGGCTTGGGAGGTGCAGAAATAATGCGTTAAACGGCACTGACTCCCCTAGATCTCTCCATCTTCCTCCATCATCCTCTCTCCGGAGGGGCGTGCTGGCCTAGTGCTGGCAAATCTCTAAGGCCTCATCTTCCAGTGAGCAGTCTCGAGTGGAAAGCCTTGGGTTGGCAGGAATTTCCAGCCAGGATTTATGTGAAGTTGTTTATTTGGCTTTATTTTCACAGTGACAGCTGCTTTTCTGTTGGGTCTGCTATGGGTTTTCCCCCCTAATTATTGTGGTAAAACACCATTACAGTACAAATTTGCTATTTTAACTATTTTTCCATTTTTAAGTATACATACAACTCAGTAGCATTAATTACATGCACAGTGTTGTACAATCATCACCACTATTTCCAAAACATTTTCATCACCCCAAGCAGAAACTCTGAACCCCTGAAGCAATAACCACTACAAGTTCTTTTAAAATATATTGTGGTTAAGTAGACAAAGGGAGTCTGTTTGAATAAAACTATCTGTGATGGGCAGGTCGTTTTCAAACAGGGACGAGTGGCCAGGAGTGGTGGTTGGGGAGCTCTTCTGTGTGTCTGCCCTTCTCCAGGCTGCTTGCCCAACTCAGCCAGTTGTATGTGGGGCTGGAGGCTTTCCCTTCCTGACCCTGAGGTGTCGATTCATAGTCCTTTCAGGATTTGTGTTCAAGGGGTGCATGGGCCAGCGCTCTGACTGCCCCCCTCGCCCCGACCCTGCAGGGTCGGCAGACCTGGGTGTGTGCCTGCACAAGTCCTCCAGCGGCCTGGACCTGCCCATGAAGGTGGTGGACATGTTCGGGTGCTGTCTGCCTGTGTGCGCCGTGAACTTCCGGTGGTAAGAGCAGAAACTGAATCTTCCCTGAGTTAGGTTCTCAAATCAGCTGTGGGGGTGGTGGGGGGTTGCCAGCGAGGTCAGAATTGCTCAAGGAATTCCTCCGGAAAATCGTGCAGCATTGCTAGGTGGTCTTCAGGAGTAGGGCCCGTGGGGTTTCTGAGGGTAGTCTGCACCATATTGAAGGAGTGGGCTTCCACCTAGAGCTGATGTTGAATAAAAAATACGAGTCTTAAATACTCCACTTAGGCGGCCACTTATCCATACTCATGGATAGAGTGGTGGCTGGAATTGCTCACACAGCTGACCTGGTTTTATTTCTCTCTCTGTCCCTTTTGTCTGGGCTCATATAGCTGGATTGGAATCAGTTAAATGAGTGTAATTCTCTTTCCACTGTTCTTGGCAAAGACGGGTGTTTGGAGAGGTTCTAGAAATAGTAGCCCCACCACTGGCTCAGGAGCCAGCCTCTGAATGGGAAATACAGGATGTTCGACCCTGAGCTCTGGGCACGTTGGGATTAACTTCCTGGTGACCCAGAAAAGTCACCCTTAATGTGCCAAGTCTACCTTTGGTGTGGTTTCCTTTTACCTTGTTTTTCTGCTGTGCAATTAAGAAAAAAATGGAGAGCCCATTGAGCATGTTCTCACGGAAAAGAACATGTAGCAGAAAAGGTCAAAGTGTGTGCTTTTTTTTCCTCCTTCTCAGAATCAGTTTGGATTTTTAATGTGTATCCATCCCTCCAGGCCTTTTTTTTCTATTCAGATGCCAAATCTAAGAACAGAGTCACTGCAAGCAGACTGACTGTGGGAGGGGTGGAGTGGGAGTTGGGGCAGGCACCGGGGGGTTTCTCCAGGCAGCTCTCACGTCTGTGGTTCTCTCTGCAGCTTACACGAGCTCATGAAACATGAGGAAAACGGCCTGGTCTTCGAGGACTCCGAGGAGCTGGCAGCTCAGCTGCAGGTAGCCACGTCTGCCCCCACGCCAGGGCGCTGAGTTCCACCCCCTGATTCTTTGCTCCTGTGGCTGGGTGGGTCTGTGCTGGGTCTGGGTGAAAGTTGAGGTGGGGAACAGTGGTCTCAGAGGCTGGCCTCCGTGGGCTTGGTGTGTGTGGGGGGCCCTGAGTGCCCTCTGGGTTTGCGGAGCTTACACCACACAGATGATGCCAGAGGTGGTGGACCCTGTGCACTGTCTAGGGAGCAAGCGACTGGTTCTGTGGGAGAGTGGGTGAAGGGAGCTTCGTGAAGCAGCCTTGCAAGGGGACAGGTGGGAGTCTTCAAAGGGTACTTAACACTTATTATAAAAGATGTGTTCATCATCATTCTTGGCAGTTGAGACCAGGGACAGCAAACTTTCTGGAAAGGCCCAGATGGAAAATGTTTTCAGCTTTGCCATAGTCTCTGTCAGAAGTACTCAACTCTGGGGCGCCTTGGAGGCTCAGTTGGTTGAGCATCTGCCTTCGGCTTGGGTTGGGGTCTTGGGATTGAGCCCCATGTCAGGCTCTCTGCTCAGCGGGGAGTCTGCTTCTCCCTTTCACTCTCCCTCTGTGCTTTCTCTCTAATAAATAAGATCTTAAAAAAAAAAAGTACTCAACTCTGCTATAACAAGAAAGCGGCCAGTCTATGAGTGAAGAGATGTGGCTCTGTTCCAATAAAATTGTACTTGCAAAGACAGGTGGAGGCCGAATTTGGCCCATGGGCTTAGTTTGCAAACACCTGATGTAGTTTAGCAAAGCTGGAAAGAACACAGACTGTCTAGTTCCAGCACGTGAGCTGAACAGTGGTGGGCAGAGGCTGATGGTGGGTGCTCTTGGTGGACAGAACATCGCAGAAGCCAAGGGCTGCTGCAGGGTACGGTATGTGGATGGTGTGGATGGAAAATGCCGCAGTCTGGCTGCACTGTCCAGTAGGAGCAGAGTAGGGGATGGAGCGTGGCTGGGATGTGAGGGCTCTCCTATGCCCCGTGAGGAACGGGCTTGCTGGGTCCAGGATATCGGGTTCAGAATGTGTTTGAGCCAAGCTTGCTGTGGAAGCTGGCCCAGAGCGGGAACTCTGCGGGCTCCAAGACACTGATAGTGGTTCTTGAGGTGCAGTGACAGAGGGTTTCAGTAGATCACCGGCCTGACTGCCGGTATTTGGAGGGGGACAGGAATCTAGCCTGCTGGGAAGGAGGAGGGACAGCTTTCGGGTGGGACCTGGGATAGGGGTGGGAAGCAGTTGATGAGGTAAGTTCTGGTCTTTATTCTTCTAGATGCTTTTCTCAAAGTTTCCGGATCCTGCTGGCAAACTAAACCAGTTCCGGAAGAACCTCCGGGAGTCAGAGCAGCTTCGTTGGGATGAGAGCTGGAAGCAGATGGTGCTGCCTTTGGTTATGGACACGTGGCCCCTTGAGCCAAAGACTGAGTGCTCCTGAGCATGTCCCAGTTCCTCTTAGCCCTGGGCAAACGCTTTAGAACAGTGCCTCCCCGTGGACAGCAGCTGGAAGGACAGCTGTGGAATGATATTTTTTAATGACCTAGTTTGTGGCCCAGGAAATTGGTTCAGCCTGGTTTCCTCCCTGGAGGCTCTGAATCTTAGACTCTTCTGACTTGAGTGTTTCTTTCTCCCCACTATATTACTTTCTTGTTATTTGCTTGTGGTATCTTCAATATCTCTTTGACCTGCTTTTGTCTTACGGTGTCTGCCTTTCCCAGCATCTGCCCCATTGTGTGTCTGATATTTTCATTCCTGCCTTGAGGACAGGTCCTGCAGCCTGCTGCATTGTAACGTGTACAATGGGCTTGGCTTCGTGAGGGATGTGGGTACAGGCTCGGGGGTGGGGTGGGGAAACATACTTGATACATGTTTTTATTTGCACAAATGAAATGCTTATTTCTGAGCCAAAATTTTCATTTATGATTTATAGAGATTTACTTAAGAACCAGAACTAGTGACAGAAAGGGGCACCCACTTGAATAGTTTATATTTTATTAGAACACAGTTTGCAGTTCCTGATTCTGAATTTAACATTCTTCAAGCATTCAGGTCCAGTGAAAATTTTATTTTTTGCTACATGAAAATTCTTTCCAGGATGGTGATTTAATTTTTATGTTAATCTTTAAAAACGTTTGTAAACCTACAGCATTAGTTTCAAAATTGCCATGTCTGAGTGCTCTTCATAGGGAAACAGCTTCTGGTTGTGATGAGGCACTGCTTCCCATGGGATCCCAACCTGGCCTGGAAATACAACATATGTGTCTCAGGATGGTAGGGTTTGGGGACACGACACCAACCTTATAGTGTGGGGCTGCAAGACAGGCTGGAGGGTATATACAGACCACAGACTTCTAGGCCCCATCCACATATCTAGAATCAGTGTTCAGGGATGGGACCAAGAATTGAGTTTTTAAATGGCCCTTGGCAGCCAGGTTTGCTGCCCCTGCCTTCTGGGCCCTGGAAGGTCACAGACCTGGCTGGGTTTCCTGACTATTCAGCCTGGCGCCTCTTGGCAAAGGCTGGACATACATCAGAAGGGCTTACATCCTTTTCGTAAGCACAGCTGTCTGAAGAGCCCTTGGCAAGGATCATTTTGTTACCAGTTTTTTATGAATGAAAATAATTACAAAAATGAAATATTAAAAGTATTGAAGTGTTGGGGTTCTTGGCTGGCTCAGTCGGTGGAAAAAAAAAAAATTGATCTTGGGTTCATGAGTTCAAGTCCTACATTGGGCCTAGAGCTTACTTAAAAAAAAAATATACACGTGTGTGTGTATGTGTGCCTATAATCCTGCCACCAAGTACAACAACTGTTAATTGGTTATGTTCTTTCAGATTTTTCCCTGTATGCATGTTAACATGAAGATGATTATTTTTAAAAATACAAATGGGCTTGGGGTCCCTGGGTAGCTCAGTTGGTAAGCATCCATCTGTTGATTTCAGCTCAGGTCATGATCTCAGGGTTATGAGATCGAGCCCCATGTTGGGCTCCCCACTGGGCACAAAGTCTGCCTAAGATTCTCTATATATATATATATATATATATATATATATAAAAAAAAATTAAATAAATAAAAATGGGCCTATATATATATATATATATATATATATATATACACTTTGCTTTCTTAAACTACAGTGTATTTTTCATATAGTATCTGAAAGAGGACTTCATTCTTTTTGAAAGCTACAGGGCACTCTGTCCATGGGACACAGGCACACGTAGTAGGTGTTTGCCTGCAGAGGTGACTGTCGGTGGGGCTGTGCTTGGCGGGGGGGGCGGGTTGGGGCAAACATGGTCCTGCACTGTGGCCAGGCTGTGTGTGGAAAGCCCTGGTTGGGCCTGGCGCATGGCGGGCACTACAGGGCAGTGGCCAGTGGTTGTGGGGTGGGAGAGTGAGGGCGGGTGTTGGCTGCCTGGCTCCACTCTGGAGCTCAGGCAGTCACTAGCTCCCCTGCACCCCAAAGTTTCCATGGATGAGACTGGAGGATGACAGCATACCCGTCCCTGGTGCTAGAGGGGCTGACATGTCAGGTCTGAAGACAGTGCCTGGCCACAGCAGTACCTGGCGACAGCAGTGCCAGTTTGGGGTGTAAATGGCAGAGCCCTCCCCCCCCTCCAGAGTCCTCCCTGCTTTTCTTCCATTTACTGGGTGCTTAATACAGCGATAGCAGCAGCTACCATGTTCCCAAGTGCTGCCTGCATGCCAGTCCCTGGGTCACATCCCAGGTGGATGTTTCCGCTGTAAAGATGAAGACAGGGAGGTGAGTGGCGGCCCAGCTTCACCAGCGCAGGTGGGATCTGCTCCAGAGCCTGCACTGCACTACTGTGGCCAGAACTCATCTACCCTGACACCCACTGGCATCCACCATCCTCTCCTCTCTGTTCTACAGACCAGGAAACAGGTCTGAAGGCCCTCGAAACGTGCTCTAAACACACAGTAGGACTGCTGGTCTCTGACCTCTAGGACTGCTGCATAAACTGCCTCTTCCCCTTCAGAGCACAGCTCCCTGGCCCGGCCTCCTCCGCTGACCACCCAAGGGGTGGGTAGCGGGTCGAGGACCCAGGACGTCGTGTGTTCTGGTTTGTTTCAGGGCCCCACTCTTTTGCGTTGCTGATTTCTGCCTCACTGGAGTCCTGTGTGGGGCCCAGGTAGCCTGACAGAGACAGCAGCCCCTCCCGGGCCCATGGCTCACCTAGCTCGTTGGTGAACAGCCAGCAGGTCTCCGGGCTGCGGACGGTGAAGGCAATGTAGGCTTCAGGAGCCTGCTGGTCTTTCAGGCAAGCAGAGAGCCTCTGCAGGACTCTGACCAGGGAGATGACAGTTTCTGGGCAATATAGCACATCTGCAATGAAAAATCTCAGGTTACCGAAAGGGGCTCACTCCAGGATTCAGGATCCAGAAAAGAGGGTGCCTGGTTGTACTGACCTCAGCAGCAGGGCTGGGGCCTGGAAACCAGTTTTATTAGAATCATGCCATTGGACACAAAGAAGATGATGTGGTTAAAAAGAAAAACTCTTACGAGAGAAAAAAAAGCTGCTGAAAGACCCTGCAAGAAATGGAAAATATCCAGGACTCACTGGTGTTCCTTTAAAAAAAAAAAATCGATTCTTTGCCTATGGTCTATTTAGAAGACGCTTAATGAAATAAACCCCAACCAGCTCTCTGTCTCAGAGTTCTTGCTTCCAGGGGCCTACTGTTCTATTAGCTACATTGGGGGACAGGGGGGACAAACTTGCTCCCTGTCAGCATGCTTACATGGGAGGGTGCTGCTCAGGCTCTGTGTTCTGGCTACTGTGGGCCTGTGGATCTCAGGGCTGTGGTCCAGGATCAGAGGCACAGCACTGTCAGCTGGACAGGGGACTTGAGTGAGCTTGGTAGGGGACTGGGTGAGCTTGGTGGAGGACAAGGCGGCTGTTGGCCAAACACCCCTTGTCTCAAGGACTCTGCCTTGCACCCGAAGTGGCTGGTCCCCTCCCTCCCCCTTTCATTCCCTCAGAGATGAGATGTGGGGCTCATCTCTGAAAGACATGGGGGCATGGACCTAGGATAGAGACGTGTAGGCAGAGCCCTTGGGGTCAGATGTGCAAACATCAGACAACAGAGCCATATGTAGAGATAGAAGCAAGTGCTCACAGGGGTGGGGGCACTCAGAGCTTGTTTCCTGACTTGGACACCACTGTGGTTTGACCCTAGGTCTGGCCCAGGGCTGGGTGTCTGTGATAAGCATAGGAATCAGACATGGTCCTGGGAGAATCATGCTTGTCCCTCGTAGCCCTGAAAAGATAGGGCTGCCAGGGCCATTTCAGCCCCACATCTGAAGACTGGGTGGTGGGGGAGGCGGGGCTGGCGTTCAGCTCCCTTGCTTCATGGCGCTGCTCTGGCCATTTCATTCAGGTTCTAGAGAGGGACATAAAAATCTCTCTACTCAGCTGCAGCCTGGCTAATAGGTTAGATGGCTTTGGTGCCCTGGGGCCTGTTCTCGCCATCTCAGGCTTTGCTGAGAAAAGCTGGGTTCATTTATCCGACGGAACCATTTTAACAGGAGTACATGTGGCCACTGTGTCAAAGCGGAGAGCTGTGGCTTTAGGGCATCCAAGAGGCATGCCCTGTGGTTTGATGTTACCCTGAAGGCCCACAACAGCCCTTCTACAAGTCTCATCATTCCTCTGCCTAGCAGGGTGCACTGTCCCCTTCCCAGAGCTGAGAGCTGGGAGGAGTCACTCCAGTTGCCCTGGGGCGGGGCGATGGGGGGCAGTACCTGCTGCTATGATTACGTCTGGCCGGAAGGCAGCCAGCTCAGGGGCCGTCACAACATCCCAGTCCAGCTGGGCCACCGTCACCCTGGGGCTCTCTGTGTCGTGGGCATTATGTCCTGGGTGCCTTTCAGGGTCAGTGGTGTCTGGTTCCAATGAGAGGCCATTGAGAAGGATGTTTCCTCGGAGCTGCTCAAGAACACAGCTGTGACAGTCGCTGAAGACGTATGTGCTGGGACAGCATGTCTTGCAAATGGCCAGGCCCGTGAGGCCAGCTCCACTGCCGAGCTCTAAGACAGTCCTGGGTGGGAGAAGGGGGCCTGTGTGTGAGACCGTGCTGGGGAAAACCAGCTTCCCTGCCCTGCCCTGCACCCCGAGGTCACCTGTGAGCAAAGGCGGCTGGGTTCTCTATGGCCCATTCAGCGAGGTAGAGTGCAGCGTCCCACGTGACCAGGCCGGTGGTACCATGGGAAACGATGGCTGTGCTCTCAGAGAGCGTGACTGAGTCTCCGGAAGGCTGGGCCGAGACAGGGAGAGAATTAATCCTGCTACCAGGAGACAAGGAGCTGATCTTAAAAAGAAAAACATCACAACAGGTGGATGGCTAGATAAGACCGTGGAACATCCTGCCACAGAATGCTACATGGCAATGGAAAGGAGCAGGTTGTCATTGTACGTGCTACCTGGATGGGTCTCGAGGGTGTTAACGCTGCGCAAAGAAAGCCAATCTCAGAAGGGCACACATTGTGAGATTCCATCCATCTGACCTTCTCAAAATGACAGGACTGTGGAGAGGGAGAACAGATCAGTGGCTGCCCAGGGTGGGGTTGGCAGGGGCCCGGGGACAGGGGAGGCCCAAGGGAGGTCTTTATGGTAACGGAGTAGGTCAGTATCTTGATTGTGGTGGTGCCCACATGGGCCTGCACGTGTGATAAATGAGGTACACCTACGCAGGCTCGGTGTATACACCGGTGTCCCTGTTGTAATGCCATATAAGTCAGGTCCCATGTTTCCAGTGGGGGAATCTGAAGAAAGGGCACCTCTCTGTACTGTTTTTGCAATTTCTGTGAATCTGTAATTATTAACAACAAAAAGTCACAACTCCCTGGCATCATGAGCTATATGTGGAAAGTCTCAGCATGTGGGGCCTTCCTCAATTCAACCTGACATTTGGGGCTTGGGAATTCTCTGGTCTTTGAAGTTTCCTGTCGCCCTCAAAGCAGGTGGTTTGCTGGCAAGGGCTTCATGGAATATGCAGTCCTGAAATGTGTTCTCCAAAGCGGGGCTTCTGAGCATGGGACCTCCAACATGCCGTCACCCGGGGGTGGTTTCTGGCTATCTCTGAGCTCACAAAACTCATATAGGAGACTCCGGAGTACTGTGAGCAGTCGTTTGTTCATTCATTCATCCACATATTTTTCCTGAGCATTTACTACAGTGCTGGGGACTCAGATGTGACAAGATGAAGTCATTCCCTGTTCTTATGGAACTTCCATGCCAATGGGGGATAAAACCATAATAAACAAAGTAATTTCTCAGTTTTTCAGGGCTATGAAGAAAATAAAAAGGACTACATGATAACAGAGAATAGGAGGTCTATTTCAGATAGATTGGTCAGAGACAGCCTCTTTGATGTGTCATGTGACCTGGGATGTGAGTATAAAGAAGTGAGGCATGTGAGGTTCTAGGAGGAGAGCATTCCAGGCACAGCATGTGCAAAGGCCCTGAGGCAACATTTCAGTTGGTGAGTTCAAGGAAGGCAAAGAATGCCAGGGATGTGGAGCACAGGGAGAGCAAAAGGAACGAGATGAGGGGGAAGGCTGGGGCAGAGCACGCAGGGCATGGCAGGCTACGTGAGAAACTAGGATTTGAGTCTGAGTATGAAGGGCAGCCACTGGAAGGTTCTGGGTGGTCGAGTGACATGCTCTGATTTACCTCTCAAATCAAGGGGAGCACTCTGGGGGTTCTGAGAGTGTGGTTTTGAATCTTCCTGAATCCCCACATACAAACAGACAGAGTAGTGAGATATGGACAACATTCAACAAAACTAAGTGAAGCCAAAATATCAACAAGTGGGGTCAAACCACCAATAGACACAAGACTTGTGTGCTCCATGTGTCTGTGTCATGGGGCACATGACAGGCCTGAGGACAGAACCCCAGTAGCTGAGCATTCACTGGAAATGCAGGTATCAGCTGTGAACCACGGCCCACGGAGGAGAGAACTTGCTGCTCCAGTCATCGGGGGTGTGAGGGACCAGGGGTGAGGCCTAATGGCAACTAGAAACACTCAGAAATGCTCTCCTGTAACACCCATTCATGAAGTATTTACTGAGGACTGAGCACCAGGTCTCTACTATGCAATTATGTGCATCACCTGACTTAACCCCCAGCCACCCCATAAACGAGGCACTATAATGTATTGAAATGCTTGGTTTACTGAAGGGGAAACCAAGGCTCAGGGTGGTTAACTGACCTCCTCTAAGATCTCAGAGCTGATGGGTCAGGATATGCACCCACTTGAGGCTGACTGGAGTCTGAGTTTCAACTCTGTGTGCAGGGGTGGATGTCTGGATTGTGTGGGGAGGGTGCCCATCTCCTACCAGCAGATAGCTCCGGTGGCACTGGGTGGGCTCCTCAGCCATCAGGACCTCTGCCAACGCCTCGTACAGCTCGTCCAAAGGCTCCATGTGGACAGCCTCGTGCTGGGGGTGGGCAGAGCAAAAGCTTCAGCCAAGACATTTAAGTTGACCCTCATGAATCAAACAAAGGTTCCATGTGTTCACTTTGACTTGTTAAAAAGGCTGGAGGATTTTTACCGATTTAGATAGGAGATTTGGGATGGATTGACTTAATACAAGCCACCTGGCATACAAAAAATTCATTTGGTAGGGAAGCTGGAGGATATCTCAGGTATACAGAGGGCAATGGTGAGGTATAGTCTAGGGCAGCAGAAATGGGACTGCATGAGCTGCCATGTGACGGTGACAGAGAGCTTTGCCCTTCCATCATGATGCTATGGATGGATCAAACAACTGGTGCTTTTAAGTGAGCCCGGGCAAAAGCCACAAGGACGGGCACTCTGCATGGTACGGTTGGCTTCATCAATGGGCAAGCCTCTGTCGTGCCCTTCACAGGGGCAGCAGCAGGGCGGCCATGCTTCTGGTGGTTCTGGGGAGACCTGCAGGCCATGACTAGATGCACATGTTGGGGAGAATCAGGTGGGGAGGCAACAGAGAAGCCAGGAATGTTTCACATGCTAAGCTTGGGTGAGACATGGCCCATGCATTCAGTGGCCGAACACAGCAGGTCTGATGCTCATTTTTTTTTTTTCACCTCTCTGAGGTCCAGCCTAATGTGAAACCCAGCAAGTTTGGGCTCATTTTTTTTTTTTCTCTTTTTTCATGTTATGTTAATCACCATACATTATATCATTAGTTTTTGATGTAGTGTTCCATGATTCATTGTTTGCGTATAGCACCCAGTGCTCCATGCAGAACGTGCCCTCCTCAATACCCATCACCAGGCCAACCCATCCTCCCACGCCCCTCCCCTCTAGAACCCTGTTTGTTTTTCAGAGTCCGTAAAAAAAAAAAAGAAGAAGAAGAAGATAGAGGGGTGGGGGGAAGAATGAAGGGTGGGCTCATTTTTAAAATACATCCTGTATCAGTCAGGAAAAGAGTCCACATCAGATAGCTCATTAAGGAAAAGAGGGTAAAGCGAGCTAGTTACAAAGGTATTGCAAGACCTAAAACATCCAATAGAGGGCAGTGTGGCAATCCAGAGATCGGCAACAGCAGAAGTGGGCGGGCGGGCTAGGGGAGAAAGGTGGGGGGGGGGGGCGAGAGGGGGCTGGGACCACAGAGGAAATGCAGCTGCTGCTGGAGACCTCTTGAAGCACAGAGGGAGAGATACCCTGCTCTCTTCCTCCTGCCCCCCCATAGCCTCTGACTGGTCGAACCCAGCTGGGAACAGTTAAACAGGGAGGCCCCTGACATATTGGGGTTTGCAGAGCAGGCAAAGGGCATGGGACAAATCCGAGCTCCAACAGGCAAAGCCAGGCAGGCACAGTCCACTTTCGGAGTGCCAGCCAAGTCCCAGGTGCTGTGTGGCTACCAGACAGTGCCCATTACTGACCTTTCTGATGAGCTCCGAGAGAAAGCACCGGACATACTTCACTGATCGCGGATGCTTCACGCAGAGAGGATGTTTCACAGTCTGTGACAAAGGACGCAATGTGAGTTGCTGGAGAGACCCTGCCGTCAGTCTCCCATGAGCTTCAAGTGAATACAGGGCAACCCCCATTACTTGATCCCTCAGAAAAGATGTGTACAGACACAAGGGTTAAAAAAACAGGTGACCCTCATGCATCTGAAACAGTATGTCTTAAGATACAATTCCTTTCCTAAAAAAATTTCTCCACTACAGTGGCATACGCTGACAGAACGTTCTGGGTAGAACATGGATCACACGGACCCAAGCTAATGCCCTGCTACAGACTGAATGTTTGTGTCCCCCCAGTTCATATGTTGAAGTCTAAAACCCAATGTGATGGTATTAGAAGGCAGGGCCTTTGGGAGTGATTAGGTCATGAAGGTGAAGCTCCCATGAAGGGGATTAGTGCCCTTATAAGAGACCCCAGAGGGTTCCCTCGGTGCTGCCACAGTGAGGACACAGCTGTCTATGAATCAAGAAGTGGGCCCCCCACCAGACACCAAATTTTTGGGAACCTTGATCTTGGCCTTCCCAGCCTCTAGAACTGTGAGAAATAAATTGCTGTTGTTTATAAGTCACCCAGTCAAGAGCATTTTGTTATAGCAGCTGGAAAGTGCTATGCCACCCCTTCCCAGGGCAGGCAGCATGAACTAGTTTTTAGTGGGGACAACTGTGGGATTGTCTGGCTCTGTGGAAAAGGTGAGAGCCCAAATAGTGGGAACAGGCAGACTGGGCACTTGCTCTCCTGGAGCTCACATGCCAGGCTGAGGATGAGTGCTAGGATGGCTGGGACAGAGGAAGATGGGGACTCTGCCTGGGATGTGGTGGAGGGGAAGATGGCTCTCAGGGGTGACACTTCAGCTGATGTCTAGAAAAGCAAAGAGCACGGGGAGTGAGTTCCAGGCAGAGGGGATAGTTTGTGGAGGCTCTGAGGCAGGCATGGCCTGGCATTTTGGGAAGGAGGGCAAGGCAACAGGGGCAGTGAGAGTAGGGGCCAGGTCATGTGGAGGGACATGATTTTTTTAGTCAAGGGCAACAAAATACCCACACAACCCTTCAGGGGCTTTCTAGTTGGCTGGTGTTAGGTTTTAGCCTCAGGATGAAAATCAGAGTGGGCTGCTGCACAAGGACCTCAGAATCTCTAAGCTCACAGTTGTAAACGACTGGGTTGCCCTGCAAGCCTCCACTAGCCATGGCTGAATCTTTCCTATATGGTAGTCAGACAATCTTGGTTCACCCTCCACACAGGAATTCTTAACCTAGGTTTCTTGGATGGGCTTGGTGCTTGGAGGCCTGTCTATAACTCCCTTGAATTTGTATACAAAATGTATTCTTCTGGTCCTCCTTTTTATGGGGATGGGGTGAGAGTCTACAGCTTTGGGTTTTCAGAAGGGTTCACGATCCTCAAGAGGGTTCATAGCCAGGATGCAGTGTGATTTCCACTTGATCCACATGGCCAGGGTCAGGATGGGGCAAGGCCAGGCAGAGTGGTGGCCTTACCTCTACCCTTGCCCAGATGTATCTTAGAATTCAAACCCTACCTCAGAAAAGCAGGCATATCTACATCTAGAAGAGACACGAGTGGGCAAGACTTGCCATGTAAAGAAGAAAGTCTTTGAGCAGCTACCAAATGCTAGAAGATGTTTCCATAGCTGTCATCTTGGTTTTCATTGTGGATAGTTTCAAAGACATCTCCCAGATTCCCTCCTCTCATGCAGATTTTTGTATATTCTAATGTCTTCATCTAAGAAAACAACAGAGCCAGAGCTGCCTGAGGTGCTGCTACCCAAATGCAGTGTCTTTCTTTTTAAAGGATACAAGCGCGCCCACTGTGTTTCTGTCATGTCTTCATGGGCAAGTCAGGAGGCTGGTGATGCGACCCAGTGATTCTGATTCTTACCTTCTGCAAAATATTCAGCAGTAGCTCAGGACCTGATGAGTCCCTTAATTTCTCTTCTAGGCTCTATTCAGAGAGAGAGTGGAGGGGAGAGACAGAGAAATCTCAAGGGCATTTTCACAGGAACATTAAAAATGCAATAGGACATGCTAGCGAAGTGCTAAGTGATCTCTCCCCAGGGACCTGGGGCCAATTGGAAGGGGAAGCCACAGGCTGGCTGAAACCCTGAACTTGAGAAGTCCTGGGTTACACACCTGGATGAGTCAAAGAAAGAACATCAGAAGACAGACTCTTGGTTTGTGTTAGCCCTGGCTGCTTAGGCTCACCTGGGTCACAGAGCAGCTCTGAGGCTGAAATGATCAACCAGGAATTACGGGAGGAGCCATGACACTGACACCTGATGGGCTCACCTTGGACTTGACATCTTTAAAATGGACACACAGGCCAGGCCAGGTTATGCTGTCTTCTCTGACAGAGAACTCCAGCCCAGCGGTGAGGTCAGGCTCTAGAAGTAGGCAGACTGGCCCTGGCTGGTGTGTGGTATCAGGCAAATCACTTCATTTCTCCAGAGTGAGTTAGGCTCTAAAAGGCCTATAAACCCTGGCCCTTGCCCCTCTCTCTGACCTTATTTGCCACCACCCCTGGCCTCCTCGTCATTCCTCAACCGCAGCAGCCTATTCTCACTGGCAGGGCCTTCCCACAGCAGGCTGCTTTACTGTTCAGGTTCTGGCTCAAATGTCACCTCTTGGGGGAGGGCTTCCTGACTCCCCTACTTTGATGATACATTTCCCTGTTTTATTGACTTTACAGCCACTGTCATCTCCTGGTGTTTTCTTGCTTATTCATTTACCTGTTTATTTTCTGGCTCTCCCATCCAAGCAGAACCTCATCTGTAATGTGTACTGCTGATTCCTGGTGCCTGGCTCATGGAAGGCATTCAGTAAATATTTGGTGATGGAATAAAAATACTAGCTAACACCCACGTCACTTACCATGAGCTAGATAGACACTGCCTCAGGTGCTTCAATTTCCTGTAATTCTGACACCAGCACCATCACTGTAGTCCCCATTTAATAAGAAAACTAAGGTACAGGAGAGATGTATTCACTTGCCCAAGGTCACACGGCTTGTATGGGGGTTGGCCAGGATTCAAAACAGGCAGGCTGGATCCCAGGCCTGAGCTCCCCCCTGCTACACTCTACTTCTTTACTAATCAAGCAATCTTTCTGGTCAAATGTGAATGGTACTAATAGTACCCCCTGCATGGCTGTTGTAGGCCAGTCTAAGTAAGCATTTATCATGGGCCTGGTACAGAGTAAGCACTCATTTCATGTGAATAATTATAGTCGATATTGAATTGGGACCCACTGATGCTATTATGAAGGTTTACATTTTGGGTTAAAAAATTACATATTCCTTTCTGACTGGAAAGATCTCTCAGAATGCTAAATGGGTTAGGTCAATGAGACACAAATGACTAACCACCACCCCTTAAGATGGGGCAGACTTGGGGGGAGGAATATGTACCCAATCTGAGTCATCCCAATGAGCTCACCGCACATGAATTATGAAGGAGGCAGCATCATTAGAGCCCCTGCATTGGCAGAAGGAAGCTGCTGCCATGGTCATTTGCCTGTGCAGGTCTCCAGGGCAGGGGAGATGAGACTTCTTTCGTCTCTCTTCTGGCCTGTTTTGTACCTCCCTGTCTCTTCCATCACAGGCATAAGAGCCTCAAACTGCCTCTGAGAGGATTTTGTCCAATGCTGATGGTACAGATGAGAACACCGAGGCCTGGCGGGGGAGGGAGTGTGGGTGTCTGTGACTTGGTCACTGCCCTCATTGCAACTGGTCTCCCGGTGTCCTGAGGACGTTGACTGTTTACATGCGCTGCAACAATGGCTAGAATGACAACTAGCTAAACAAAAAAAGTAATGAAATTTACCGTGAATTGTCCCTGACCTAACTCCCGAGTGACAAAGGGAGTTAGGAGGAAACTCCGTATTCCTTGAATTCGTGGACTCAGTGTGCAAAGGCAGTCGAGGGCGGGAAGGGCCAGGGGAGGGAGCAGAAGGCCTAGTGCAGGCTGGGCTCCCCAAGCGCGCGCAGGTGTGCCTCCTGCTGCCCGCCGCCAGCCCGCGCTGCCCCCGGCAGAGCCCGGGGGAAATGGACCCGACGCGCGGCCAGTTCATGCGAGGGAGCCGAGAATATCACGCGGCTGGGGGAAGGGGTCGGGCGCCGGAGCCCGCCCCGCCCCCACCCCGCCACAGCCGCCCCTCGCCCGCCCTACCTCCCGCCTGCCCTCCGCGCGCCCCACCGCCCACCTGCCAGGGGAAGTAGCGCAGTGTGCGCGCCGCCAGGAAGCGGCGCTCGAAACTCTGCAGCACGCTCTCGGCCTCCGCCGTCTCCTCGGGCGCCATGGCGGGGCGGGCGGGGCCGCGGCGTTGCCCGGGAGACGGGGCGGCAGAGGGGCGGGGCTGAGGCGGTGAGCGGGGGCGGGGGGAGGCGGGTTGGGGGCGGTGCCAGGTACGGCTGGGCGTGTGGGAGGCGGGGGCAGGGTTGGCTTGGGGCGGGGCCTGAGGCTTGAGGGCGGAGTCAGGGCTTTGGCGCCAAGGGAGGGCAGGCGGGAGGCGCCGGCTCTCTGGTAGCTTCCAGTCAGGCGAAGGGCAAGGTAATCATTCCTTCTGTTCTCGGGCCTTCACGAGGGTTTTCTTGGCGGGGGACGAGTGGACGGACGCGTAGCCCCCTCCCTGTTGCGCTCCTGGGAGCGAAGGAGCCTGACTGCCCTCACGTTCCAAGGCTGTGTCCTCACGCGGAGGGTTGGGGGCCGCAGAGGCCTTCGCCTCCCCTGCAAGTCAAGGTGCGGGTTCGCCGCTCCGGGTGGTTGGGTAGGTGGCGCGGTTAAGGGGCGAGGGAACGTAGGTTCTCAGACCTGACCCACCAGGGCGCCACAGGATGAGTGCAGGGCTGTGAGGTGCGCCCCCCCGCCAGAATCTTACACGTTCCGCTGGAGGCCGTGGTGGAGTTTAGTTCCCTCTGCGGTCCGCGTGCTCTCCACAGCGCGGTGCCCTGTCTGGGCGGCGACCTCAAAAGGGCGAGCCAGGCGCTGAGGTGCGCTCCAGAGCGGGGAGGGGGCGAGGAGCTTGGCAGGGTCAGCCTGAGGTCACGTCCTCTCCATGACCTCGACACGAAGCAGGGCCCCCCACTCCTCCGTCCTTCGGGTCCGCCCCTAACCCATCCAGTCTTGCCTTCACCAGACACTTATTAAGCACCTACTGCGTGCCCAGTGCTGTCAGGGCATGCAACTGTGAGGGAAACCAGGAGTGGCCCCTGAGGGTCAGGGGCTCGCGCGGGGGAGTAGGCACAGAACTAATTATCAGACAAGTATGTGTAGACGCGCCGTGCAGGTGAGCTCCCGGAACTAAGGAGGACTTACAGTAGAAGTTTGACCTTGTAGGGAAAAAAAAAAGAATGGAGAGTAAGAGGGCTGCTGGGGGTGGTGGGGATGGGGAAGAAAGGGAAAAAAAAAATAATGATTTCCATTAGGCATTATTGTGTCAGGAGTGAAAGGCAGGATAGACAGCAACCCATGGCGCTGCCTCTGGAGTTTGAGCTGTGTTCAAAGTCTAACACGTTTACTTTAGCACATCTCTCATAAAACTCCATTTGGAAGAGTCCAGAGCTAATTTGCTAAATATACTTGCAGAAGGTAGATGAGGGGGCAGATTAAATCTTATTACCCCTTTCAGATGAAAAACACTGAGCCTTGCTCAGCTATGAGAACAAGAGAGGAGAATTAATTCTAATTGAATGCATTTATTCTCATATCTGTTCTAACACCAGCACCAAGTGAGCACAGGATCCAACATAAGAATGATTTGTCTTTTATTCCCTCGACACTGTTGATTTAAATAAAGAGGGTGGACTGTGATTATTGCTGTTTTTACACAGAATTAATGGTTTCTGGGTCTGATGTTGTAGAAATCCTCTTAGTCACAATATCCTGAGGTAGAATCATCTGAGATATGACAATGAGTCTCAACCAGGGCTCAGTCTTGGTCCCAAGGGAATGATGCTTCAGAACTGGGCCAGGCGGATTGGTTCACTTTTGCTGTTTTGATCAGCTCTCTGCCTGCAATAGACAATGAAAACCAATGGGAAAGGGTCAAACTCATAAATACTAGGCTTATTCTGTTAACACGTATAATAGCTATTAATTGCTTTTCTTCTGAGAAGCAAAAGGGCATGTACAGTCAATGCCATAATAAGTAATACTGTGTGATTTTTTAAGATATTAGTAAATCTAGGCTGGTTCAGCCTTTCCTGATGCCATAGATGGGATGTAGATTGGGAAAGGACCCCAAGTGGGCCATAGCACTGACTTGCACACAGAAGAAACCTTTATTTTGGTGTGTGGGCTCTTGGGAGGGAGAAAGGTCATAAAGTCATACCTTTCAGATCTGGATCTGGAAGAATCAAGGCACTGAAGGCATTTTTAACATCCCAGGGACCTCATAGGTGTGTGTTCAGGTGTAAGTGAAGGTTAGGACTGCCATTTAACACAAAAACTAAAAATTCCAGGGTGTGTTTATACGAAGAGAAGCTTTAGGACACATCCCATGGCCATGCCAGCAGCAAAAGGGGATGTGTATGTGCACATGCTGTATTAAAGATTTGGCTTCTGGATTTGAGGCTTTTAATAATAATAATAATAATAATAATAACCACAACCACCTAATACATTTTTAACTGTATGGAATGGTTGCTTTTTAGAAATTATGCTGTGGGCATGGTAGTTTAATCAGTACCTTGAAGTTTTTCCTTTATCTCTCCTATAGCTAATGGTTTCTTTAGAAAAGGACCAATTGATTTCTTTTTAAAATGTTGCTTCAGGGTGTAGAGACCTTTATAGGTCGTGTTTCAACTTACAGGAAATTTTTATAGTTCAAATATAAATTACGTTAAATGTAGCCTTTGTAATGGAGTTAAGGTTAAGTAAAGTTCTGACTTTCCTTAAGCTGTTTATAGTGTTCAGGAGGCTCCCGTTCTATTGGGATAGGAGCTATGTTAAAGCAGAAGAATGGTCAGGGTTGGGTTTAATAAGGAATGCAGGAGGCTCAGTCTAATGATGTAATTATTGAGATAGAGAAAGAGATGCACCGGGGCTCTATAATGCTTTGATTGGTGGCAGAACCAGTGTTATGAGTTGGATTGTGTCCCCCCCACCCCGCCCTGAAAATATGTTGGAGGCCGTAACCCTTGGTACTTAGGACCTTATGGTACTGGTGACCTTATTTGGAAATAGAGTCTGCAGATATAATTAAGATGAAGTCATCCTGGCTACAGAGGGCCCTAAATATCATGACTGGTGTTCATAGAAGAGAACACCGTGTAAAGACAGAGACACAGGGAGAGGATGGTCATGTGATGATGGAGGCAGAGACTGGAATAATGCATCTATAACCAAGGAATACCAAGGATTGCCAGCAACCACCAGAAGCTAGAGGAGGCAAAGAAGGATTCTCCCCTACAGGTTTCAGAGGGAGCCTGGCCCTGCCAACACCTTGATTTTGGCCTTTTACCCTCCAGGTCTGCGAGACAATAAATATCTGTTGTTTTAAGCCAGCTAGTTTGTGGTACTTTGTTACGGCAGCTGTGGAAAACTAATACAACTGGTATGTCATTTGGGGGGCCCACAAAATGAAAATGCAGGGTCCTTGTTAAAAAAATCAAGAATTCTGAAATGGTGCCAGTAGATTATTAAACCAAGTTGGGGGCTCTTCTGAGCCCTGGGCCTTGAGTGATTCCTCAGGTCACAAATCATGAACCTGGCCTTGGTTGCTGGGTTCTCAAAGTGCTGGATCCCCTTTGGCATGCAGGAAGTGGTTGAAGTGGATTATTACAATGTGTACTGATTAACCATGGGAAACCCAAAGAACACTCACTTCTTTTTCCGATGAATGGCTGTGTATGTCACGCTAGCAACAAACAGAACTGCAAGAACTCCTGTGACAATCGCGAGACCAAACACTGTCTTTTGGAGAGCCAATGTCCTCTGTGTCTCCGCTCCTGATAAAATATCAGATGATTTTTAATTGTCTGATTATTAAGAGGCTGTTCTGGCTGCTCCTGGGTCCCTGGGAAGTTTTTCATCCAGGCTCTGGTGAATATTAATTATGGAAATGAAATGTACATTTAACCCAAGAAAGTGCTCACTGTAGAGAAACCTTGTAGGGCAAGTCGTTGAAAGCCGATTTACTAAACGACCTATTCGCCAAATGACCCATTTTCCTAATGACCACTTTGCCAAGTGACCAATTTGCTAAAAAGCCAATTTGCTGAAAATCAGTTGGTGGGACATTTTGTTTATCAATAACTGATGACAGTCAAAGACCTAACCCCAGGCTCCCAATGGGCTATGGGACAGGGGAGGGGCCAAATAGTTGTAGCAAAACTCTAAACCTTAAAAAAAAAAAGCCTCAATAATTTGGTGAATTGTCATTCATTTAATTAGATTCCTACAAAATGGCCTGCTTCCTGGGGGTTCACAAGAAGATCGTGCGCAGTAGCTTAGAAGAAGGGAAAAGGGTGTCCTTTGTACTCCGTTCTAATTGAGCATAGTTAAAATGTTTTAAGTATAATAAATAAATCACCGAGCAGCATCTAAGTCTCTCTCTGCAGAAGAAAAGCTGACCAGTGTTTGCAAACAACTGAATTCTCAGAGATGATTCCATTCTTCCTTTATATCATCCAGATTTAAGATTTTGAAATCTTAAGAATTAGCAACCTTATTTACAGGAACCACCTCCTTTCCCCTTTTTTCAGCAGTGAGTGGAATAGTAAGGTTTCATTCCTCCCCTGTGAGCAGCTTTCTTCTAGGCACCAGCAAGGACTGAGTTGCTGAAGGAAGGCTGCTTTTCTGTATCTAGAAGGGGCATCAAGGGACAGACTGCATGCGATTTCTGAGGATCAGAAGGATTATTGCTTGATGTTTTCTATGGAGAGCCTTCCTTTTGCCCCAAAGGCACTATATGAAATGCTGCCAACATGTGGAGGGATTCCCTACTTCCTTCTCTATCTGTTTAGAGCTGCTGCTATCTTGCCCTGGGGGCACCGAAGCTGCCAGGGAAACAGATTATTCTTCCCCCCCCCCCCCCCATTTTGATTCTTTTCTCAGGACAGAACACACTATCAATTTTCTGTTGGTTGATTTTGTATCTCACCTGGCTGCTGGTCATATGAGTCCATAAGCATTTCCTGGGTGACTGCCAGGGAGCCATTGTGGGGTTCAGGGGTAACCCCCAGGAGCTTACACATGAGTGGGTAGATGTGGATGCTGTCAAAAGGCTCAGCTAGGTGATTCTTCTTGAAATCTGGCCCAAAAGCTCTGAATATGGTCTTCATGTCCATGTCGGCATTATCAAAGCCATGATCTCCTTTGTTGAAATATATTATAAATCGCTGAAAAATAATAACAAAAAAGCCATTTTAGATTCCAGTCCCCTGAAAGAAAACTGTCCCTTATTGTCATGCTTGTCAGATCCATGAAATCTTTGAAAATTTAAACGACAAGGAAGGCCCTGCTCTAAAGTGCCAAAGAGAAGAGCAAGGAATGAAAGATCTTTAAGAAAGAGAATAAAGAAAGCATACCCATTAGACATAGCAAGAAGATAATACTGACAATAATAATAAGCTCAGACAGTGCCTCCGGTGATGGCCTCATGTGCTTTGCAAGCTCCTCAACCGTGAAGAGAGAAGAGTAACACCTACTTCACTGTGCACACCAAAGCAGGCAGATGGATGGGGATCTGAGAAGTGTACTCCGTGAGAGGCATTTTCTTCCGCCTTACGGTCAGTTCAGAAGGTTCCCTGTTCCCTCAAACCTGGTTGGTTATGTTGGGAATGTGACTATTGCATGTCCCTTCACATCACTCTCAACTTGTTACATCATGAACCAGGCTTACAAAGAGGCCAGGGACTGTAGAATCTCTCCTTGGCAAGACCTTAGCTTTGGACAAACATCCTCAATGTTCTGGGCCGTGTGAGTGATAGCAAAATATCAATAAATTGTTGCATTTTACTGTGACTATTTCCGCCAACATTAAACAATAACCTTAAGAGTTTTCCTAAACCTGTTATACTCTGAATTTGTAGCAATACAAGAGTATACAGATTGCAGACATGATTATAATGTTCAGCTCCTGTCCGTAGGAGAGGCATTCTTCAAGGGGATGCTCTTCTGTCATGTGATGTTTAGATATCACCTAAACTTTGTTCTGCCATGAATTATTGGTTGGTAGTTTACAAAAACCAGACCACCTTACTTATGTCTCACAATTAGCCTTGATTTTGGTATTTTCTTCTTTAGATTTGCTTATTTTTTCATAACAGCTTTGTTGAGATATAATTTGTATACCATACAATGTACCATTTAAAATGAACAATTTGATGGTTTTTAAATTTTTCTCAGAGTTGTGCAACTATCACCACAATCAATTTTGGAACATTCATTACCCCAAAAAGAAACCCTGTACCCTTCAGCAGTCACTCCTCATTTTCCCCCGACATCTCCCCCCCCTGCTCTAGACAACCACCAATCTGTGTCCTGTCTCTATAGATTTGCCTATTCTAAACATTTCATTTAAATAGAATCATACAATATGTAGTCCTTTGTATTTAATTTCTTTCAGTGATCATAGTATTCTCAAGGTTCATTCAAGTTATAGCATGTATCAGTACTTTGTTCCTTTAATGGCAACATAATATTCCATCATATGGATATATCATATTTCATTTATCCATTTATCAATTGATGGGTAATTGGGTTGTTTTCACTTCTTGTTATTATTATTATTATTATTATTATTATTATTATTTTTTTTTTGTTTGTGAACAGGGTTGCTTATTATTATTATTATTATTATTATTATTATTATTTTTTGATATATGCAAAGGGGAACCAGCAGGTTTTTTTTGTTTTTTTTTGGTGAATCTACTGGTGATCTGTGCATAATGATCAAGCACACAGGCTTGGGTTCAAACTTCAGCCTTATACTTCTAATCCCAAATCACTTCTCTCTAGCTTTGGTTTATTCCTCATTAAAATGGGGGAGATAAGAATATCTTTAGGGGTTGGGAAACCAAAAAATGAAATAACTAATGTTAAAATTTTAGTACAGCACTGACAGTGCCTTGGTCAGGGAGGGATGTTTGTCATTATTGCATAGTGGTGACATAGGACAGGGTTGTTGGTTGGGATGTGGGGTTAGGAGTGGGGAACACTTAGGAAGCAGTGGATTACAACTTATGATTTAATTTTTTTCAGAACTGTTTCTCTCTAGAGGCTGTCTCCCAGACCCAAGATGACTTTATTCATTTTAGAATCAACTCACCCCATTGATGTTATAACCAGAGTCGGCATACATCACTATTGGCAGGACCCGCTTGTGTTTAGCAAAATGGAAGCGTTCTGGGAATTCCTCCTTCTTGTACACATTGAGGTGAGGGTGTGCATTCTTCAGTGCTTGGTAAACGGCTTCCTCTTGCCCTGGTTTGGGCAGGAGCATCCCCATGCCACCATAGTCCACGATATCAAACTTGACCAAGTCCCTGAACTTGATGTAGTTAGTCAAGAGGATCTCAGTGACGTTGGGCTTCTTTTTTACTGTGGTCATGCCGTGGTCTGATGTGATGATGACATTGAGGTGGTTGGTCAAGCTGTGTCTCTCAATGGCTTCCACCAGGTACCCGATGGTTCTGTCGATTTGCTGAATAATCACCCTTCTGTTCTCCGTCTCAGGCCCAAATTTGTGTCCCATGTTATCTGGCTCTCCATAGTACAGAGTCACAAAGTCAAAGTCTTCCTTAGTGAACCAGCTCATGACAATATCGATGTTCTCCCTCCACTCTGTCTCGTTGCTGTCTGGGTGAGTGTAAGACTCCACCAGGGACCGCTGGACAGCCTCCCCTTTGTACTTCACACCTCCTCCAGGATAGTGGAATGATGCTGTCTTCTTCCCCTGCAAGCATAAGAAGAAAATTCTGTCAGGGCTGTTTCTCATATCTTTTTCATAATAAGTAAAGCCTGACCTGTTGATGTCCCTGCCCTAGTCTAGAGTCATAGAGAACATGTGAGCTTTGGAGTCAGATGGTGTTGGACTTCATTCCTCGCTTCACCAGGATCTCATCGAATCTATAACACCATTAATTGCAAGACATGCTATTTTTTTATGTGCTAGTAGAAGAAAAATGCTGCCAGTTAAACCATGACACTCCACTGATTGTAAGATGCACTCCAACTTCAGAGATGGCAAGATGGAAAAAAAAAATTCCTTGGAATGGAGGAAAAATGGTACTTTCTATATTGGTGATGGTGAGTGAATTCTTTAATTTCTTAAGCTTCAGTGTTTCTACATTTGTAAAATGCCAAAAAATTGATATTATTTTTGTGAGGATTAAGCCAGATAACTTTAAGATAAAGTGGTGGGCATTGTGTTTTGGCATGTGGTAGGCACTTTTTCTTTGCCTCCAGGTAAAGGAAACCACCACAAAGTGTTCCCTGATGTGTGTACTGAACACTTAATATGTCTGCCTGCCCAGCACCCACTCCGCCTCTGCTGGTTCAGAGAACCCTGACTTCCTCTAGAGACTATGCCCTTGCTTCATGGCTCGTTTGGGATGTGTTGTTTACACATCTGGGTCCAGAGGTGGGATGTGGCTGTGGCCTGGCCAATCAGAGGACACTGCATCCACTGGCCACAGAAATTGGTTCAGCCTTGGGCCCATGTCCCAGTCAGAGCCAAAGAGATTTGATCTTGAGAATTTTGGGGAGGAGGAGTAAGGGCTAGAGGAAAGCTTTGGACCAGAAATCAGGTTGTTTTAACAACACACATGATTTCAAAATATTCTTAAATGATCCCCCCAGCAGAAAGGTGGCTGTTGACAAAATTTGGTAAAATTGTTAGGAAAAAAAATAATTTTATGTTTGCTCACCAATGAGTTAACAATGAGATGGACACATCTCACTAAATAAGTCCTGTTGTTGTAAAGTAGCTCCTCAGCCAGGACAGGGAACATAGTAGGGGCTCAATGGATTTTTCATTTAATGAATGAATGACCTACTTATTTGGGGAGCAAGTACTTTCCTTTGCCTCAGCAAAGCTATTAACTTGAAGGCTGTACTGTGACACTTTCTCTATCACCCAAGGTTTGGATGTTCTGAAAAACACAAAAGTCCATTCGTTTTAGTAGAACCAAGGATGGTGTTGGTGTCACTATGTTGATTTGGTACGGAGAATAAATGACCAGGAAGAATTTGAGGATAATGGCACCTGGATTGTGGCTATTTGGTCAATAAATGAGCAGAAAAGTATAACCAAGAGTAATGACAAAACTTCCAATGTACTGTTTGAGAGAGAAAAACAGGAAAGCAATTTGGAAGTTTTAGGGGATGCTGTTGGTTTTCTACCCAGATCCCCTTATTGGGCCAGTGCACTCACATTCACTTCAGCTGCTCCACGATCTGGAAAATTACCTTCAGCCAAGTGGCCAAATCTTGCCTCACCTGGGAAGGTGTTCCGTACTGCTCCTTCACTCCCAGCTGCCTATGGCCAGTGATTGACTGATGGGAGGACAAAAGACCAGCTTCCTTGCCTCAGGTTGGGATAGCATGGGGGTGCAATTCATGCTCCAGAGCTGTCTGTGGGATTAGGGTGAAGCTGGTCTCTAACTGCAACTACAACTCACTTATCTTCTTCAATCCTTGCCCTGTCAGTTTCCCTCATTCCCATCTCCTGAGAACTCTCCCTCAATGCCCTTTTTTTTTCAAATCCCTGTCTCAGGCTCTACTTTTAGGAAACTTGAAATAAGATATAAGTCTTTTTTTTTTTTTAAAGATTTTCATTTATTTATTTGAGAGAGAGAGAGAGAGTGTGAGCACAAGCAGGCAGAGGGGCAGAGGAAGAGGGAGAAACACACTTCCCGCTGAGCAGGGAGCCCAACGTGGGGCTCAATCCCAGGACCCTGGGATCATGACCTGAGCTGAAGGCAGACGCTCAACCGATGGAGCCACCTAAGCACCCGAAGATAGAAGTCTTAATACAAAGTATTCTTTTCAAGGCTCCAGAAGCTCTGCCATCCATTGCTATAGGTGAAATATTGTGCCCTCTGCCCTCCAGCATTCATTTTCTATCATGTGATTTAGTTTTATTTTCTCTAAAGCACTTTACCCAATCTGAACTTATCTTAACATGTTTCTTTTTTACTATTTCCCTCCCTTAGAATGTGAGTTCCGTAAGATCAGGGGCCGTGTTGATTTTATTGACCACTCTTTTCCTGGGATCTAGAACAGGCCTGGCTCAGTGTAGGTAGTAATTTTTGGTTAAATACATGTTGAATGAATGCATGGATCACATCTCCTTTTGTGGGTGCAAAACCCATCCTATTCTCACTCCTGATTAACTTATGGAAATAGTTACAGAAGCTCTTTCTTTTTTGGGTTCTAACATCTTATTTGTATACTCTTCAGGCAACACATTTTCATTTCTGATAATAGAATTTCTATGGTTGCTTTAACTTGCAAATCCTCTAATATTTATTTATTGCATTTCTGATTGGCATTACTCATAATTCTCAGTTTTTAGCGGTGGTACTTTAACTTACATATAAATTGACTTTGCTCTGAAGTATGGAATTGGCTGGAGGGATAAAACTTTCAACATTTTGTAGAACATAGTTTGACTGGCTATTTTATTATCTAGAATAAGCTGACATTGACATTATGAGGGACTTAGGCAGCTCTGCATATCCAGTTGACTTCTTGATGTTTGCATGTTAAATCTCAGATGTTCTCAACTTGAAATTGTTTTCTTGTGCTGTATTCTCAACACACACCTTCTTTCAAGATATCTCAAGCTGTAGTCTTAGGAAACTGTGGTTTTTTTAAACTTTGCCCCATAGGGATTTTAAGAGCCCCCCCGTTCCATGAAAGAAGCTCTGGAGAGAAATTATGTTTGAGTGTGTGTATACACCGCCCCCCCCACATGACTCTGTTTATTTGGGACCTGTGATAATCAAAAGTGCTATTTTCAACAAATACTTCTTAGAAATAATCTGAGTACTTAATTGGATGCAAAAGAGTGGGTATTTACTATTCTACCCTTTAATTAGCATAATCAGTGTTTCCAGTAGCAATAGCAATTGGAAAATCACTGGTGTTATTAGGTTCATTATTCTCCCTTAGTGTAGTGTTGCATCAATGTGCTCTTAAGTTGCTTTTTTTAAAATAAGAGTTGGTACTTCCTATAGGCAAAATCCTTGGGTTTTTTTACAGAGTCCACCAAACTCCTCAGAACTAATCATTAGAACAGAAGTTTCAGTTTGGTTTTGCATTACGTCTGATCTCCTCCTTTAGGACAGAGTGAATGTCACAAGGTGCACATGTTTTAGGAAGCCCTTGAACATTTCATCATGGTTGTGCTTTGGTGGGAAGTATGTATGGTTTAGGGAAAGGAGTTAGTTCCTCCTTCTAGGAAGAGATTGGGTGGAAAGAGATGGACTCCATGTATGTGAAATTCAGAAGTCAAGGTTGATTCTGAGTGTTTTCATTGCTTTTCTGTGCTCCAGAGGAGTCACTGGACAGAAGGAGCCAGATGGCCAAGATTCTATTTTCTCCCCCTCCCACACCCTTTCAGAGGTCAGATTATTATTCTTAGAACCTTTATGATGCATAATAAAGACATGGTTTGGGCCAATATTGGGATGAAATATCTTGTTATTAATGCTCTAGGCAGAAGCAGCTGGCACCATCTAGCTCACAGCTCTTCCAAGTTTGGAAGCTACTGTCTAGGAGACTTGGCCTACAGTGAAAACTATAGCTGCCCTCCTCACCCTTTCTCCAAATCCCCTCCTGGTTGTAGCCTACCATGGTCCTGATACAGACTCTTGGCAGCCATGGGGATCTCACTCAGATTATCCCCTGCCATTTCACTCCTTAATAGGCTCTATAGCTCCTCCATAGAGAGGTGAAACATGCCCCTAGGTTATTATTTATTTATTATTATTTTTTATTATGTTCAGTTAGCCACTGTATAGTACATTATTAGTTTTTAATATAGTGTTCAATGATTCATTAGTTACATATAACACCCAGTGCCCTCCTTAATACCTCCTTAATACACTTAATACCCATCACTCTGTTGCCCCTTCCCCCCACCCTGCCCCTAGGTTTTTATGGTTTTCCTGGACCTTAAAGTCATGGCTGCCTGCCTTTCTCTGAGGATTAGGACTTCTGAACTTGGTGAACCACTTCAGCCATTAATCATGTTCAGTTATCAGGCATGCTCATTTAAAATCTGAGCTTGCTGTAAATGGAGCCTCTCAGTTCATACCCTGACCATTAGTGAAGTCCTGCTGGAGTGTGGATATGTTCTTGGACTGTGAATAATGGACTCAGAGGTGGCCAGGAATCCCATCTTTTAGGCATCATCCACAAGGCATGTCAATTCTTATGTATCTTAATGGACTCTGGCAGCATTAATGTCATGGAAGGAAAACATTTTAGTCCTATTAAAGGTAAATGCATCAATCTCCACAAAGCCCGCCTGGAAGATACTCAGGAGAAGGATGGATTTTCCCAGTGTTGGATACAGGTCAGGCCACTCCCTTATAGTCCTGCCTGGTAATATAGATAGGTCCCTGAAAGACATTTAGGGCCAGTTGGTATGCTGTTACTGGGGGGCTGACCTGGGGCCACAGGTTTGCTCTGATTGCGGCAGCTTTCCTGCCAACTCCTCGAGGACCTGGCCAATGGCCCTGTCCCATGGCAGGAGATGTCAATGGTAGAATGAGATATACCAGCTTGACTTTCACTTGCCAAACTCATGGCATGTTGTCAGTCGTCTGGCCCTCCACCAGATCCTGTTTTTGCACAACCACATATGAATTCAGCAAAGAGGAAGAACACTCTGATTATGAATTGAGCAGAAGGAGACAATGTCTTGAAAATAAATGGCAATGAGACAAGAACCATGAATAAGAAAAACTATAGGAAAGAATGCTACCAGAAGCTTCATGCCAATGAACAAATACCATAGCAAGAGACTAGAGAGGCCCTGGGTTTTGAACAGTGAATTAATGAAGACTGCCTAGACCTCCCTAGCAGCAAGGCAAATACGTGATTCATTATGAAATCCATGGTTAAATGTTTTGGCCAAGGAACTAATATTATGTTATGGTTAAGAGTTAAGAGTTGCTGAACCCAGAGTGAGTTCAAATCTTAGCTTTGCCTCTTGCTAGCTTTGTGACTTTTGAGAAGTTATGGCACCGCTCTGTTAAGTGGGCATGATCGTAACACCCACCTAAGAACTGTTATAAATTAATAAATGTAAAGCACTTAAATCAGTACTAGGCACATAGAAGGTGTTATGAATGGTATTTTTTGGGGGGGACAGAATTTATTTGCATGGTCTTTGCCTCAAAGTTAAAAAAATGTGACAGAGGAAGGAATCTAGAGCCCAACAGTTAAGGGAAAAATGAAGCTGAGGTAGAGTCATTGACAACCCCTTGTGATTCATTTAGAGCTATGTTGTCCAATATAGTAGCCCTTAACCACATGTGGTATTTAGATTTAAATTGAAATTAACAAAAATTAAACGCAGTTGGGCGCCTGGGTGGCTCAGTCAATTAAGCGTCTGCCTTCAGCTCAGGTCATGATCCCATGGTCCTGGGATCCAGTCCCGCATCGGGCTCCCTACTTAGGGTGGAGCCTGCTTCTCCCTCTGAAAAAAAAGCTCCCCCTGTTTGTTCTCTCTCTCTCTCTCTTGCAAAAATAAATAAAATCTTAAAAAAAATTAAATGCAATTAAAAATTTGGTTCCTCAGTCTCACTAGTCACATTTCAAGGGCTCAGTAACCACATGTGACTAGTGGCTTCCATGTTGAACAGTGCACAGTAGAACATGTCTATCATCAAAGAAAGTTCCATTGGATAGTTCTGGCTTAAAGCTGTAGTGACCAACTGAAGTGCTAAAATGATTCAGACTCCTTTAATGACTAATAGTTTTTGAACATTTAGCTTTCACCATGTTACGTGCATTATCTCAGTTAAACTTCCCAATGGGCTTAAGAAGCAGGGACTCTGATAAACTTCATTTTATGCGTGTGGCAAATCAGGCACAGGAAGGAGGGTTTTGCCCAAGGTCATGCAGCTGGAGAAAGGTGGAGCTGGCCAGATCTTGCTCCAGGAGTCTAAGTCCACAGCCTGCATGCTGAGCTGCAACAGTACCACCTTGTAGCATGACATGCCCAGTGTATGTTGGAGCACAGAGATGAAGCTCCAGTGCCAAGGGATCTTTGGAGCAAAGGTTGGTGTCTTGGGGAAGACGAGGAGGAGGTTCTACTCCAAAGTGATGACTGTGGGAGCTGATTAAGAAAATACAAAGCTGGGCGCCTGGGTGGCTCAGTTGGTTAAGCGACTGCCTTCGGCTCAGGTCATGATCCTGGAGTCCCGGGATCGAGTCCCGCATCGGTCTCCCTGTCTCTCTCTCTCTCTGCTTCTCCCTCTGACCCTCTTCCCTCTCGTGCTCTCTATCTCTCATTCTCTCTCTCTCTCACATAAATAAAATTAAAAAAAAAAAGAAAATACAAAGCTGACAGCAGTTTTGGGGCTAGAACTTAAACATGCAGCTCTGATTTCTGCCGTTTTGAAGGAATAGTAAGTGGCCACTGGCATCCTTTCAAGTGAATGTTCTCAGAGCTTTTCATGGTCTGAAGATTCATTAAATGGTCAACTTCATTCTTAAGGGCTTTTATGGTTAAGTCTGAGGCAAGTGTATAAACAGATATTTATGAAAGAGCTGCTGAGTTCAGACCCTATGGTAAGCCCTGGAGGTGCAATCATGATTAAGCCAGACTCTGCCCTCATAGAGACTCATCCGTCGATAATGGCTAAATGCATATTTTGTTTAATACTTACATCAAATCTATTAAATAAGCATATCATCATTATTCCCATTACTCAAGGTCACAGCTTCTAACCCCCATCCTATATGCTTAGGAATGAGAGGCGATGTCCCTGGAAGCCAACCCAGGGTTTCTGATAGTACCTGTCTCTGGGCTGTGATCCAGAGGGGGAGAACACCATTGTCCCACCACTCAGTCTTGTTCTGTGTCGTTTTGTGGGAGAACTTCCATTGTGTCTCTGTATTAAACATCATGTTGTGAATGACTCCGTGATCTTCAATCCAGCGACCTTGGGAATGAAGGAGGGAAGGTACTGATAAGTTCTACAAATGGATACTGCCAGGGTATCAAAGTGATCTTAAGACCTCCCCCAATATTCTTCTGGTTGGCCTATTTCTTCTGGGGGATTTTTGCTCCAGGTGGCTACCCTGGGGCTTCAGACTTGGTTTTCTGGAGGTGCAAACGTTGGTAGGCATAAAGGAAGGGCTAATTTCTTCTCACAACAGCCAAATTGGATCTGCTCCCTGGAACAGACCTCACAGTCCTGGAGGAAGCTGGGATTGGCTGTGGAACCTGATGTGGGAGGGAAGGCAGGGCATGGGGAGGCCAGGTTACTTGGGCTATTCTATGTCCAGAAGGTAAGAGCCTGGAATTCGGATATTTCCTGTGGGATGACTTTCCTTATCTTCTGCTTGTGATGATCTGATTCAATATTGAATATCCAGTGGGCCCAATTCTTGGCAAACATCCCAGGGTTTTTCCTAGGACTCTCATGCTGCTTGAGGAAAACAATGGAATCAGGAAGGATTTCTAGACATAAATGGGTATAGACTTATTTCTCTCTACTTAAAGAAGGAAGGCAGATGTTGGGGAATGTGATTAAGCTAGATTATTCTTGAAAACATAAGAATTGAACCAGTATAGAAAAAACCTGTGATCTTACATTGTACCAGGGAAAAGGGGATGCATGTTGGGGGGCAGTCTAAAGAGTGAACCAAAAGATCCAAGGGGATAGCTGAGTACACTTCCTTACCTGCTGGGACAGAATCCTCTGGGTGACCCTACTGATTATAATAAGATAGTGATGATTTCTCCTATTTCCAAGTTAAATCAAGGCAGGACATTCTGTGACTAGAACTTGATGGTCATGGGAACCAAGAAGGGAAAGCTCTCCACTGGCTCAGAGTCATTGCCAGGCTGCTGGTGGGTAAAGCCCCCCCTAGGATGGCCAAGGCTTTCAGCTGGGAAGAAGCAAAAACAGTTGTTGCTTTATTGTTTCTGCCTTGTAGGTAGACCACGCTTAGGGGCACTGGAAAGAAGTTGTGCTGCTGTCAGGGACTGGGGCTTTGGGGTCAAGATTCCTGGTCAGGGATCAAATTAGATGGTCAACAGGAGAAGAGCATGGACCTAGAGTCCAAGAGAGCTGGGTACCAACCCCGACTTGGCTTTTGAACATGCTATGTGAACTTGAATAAGCCCTTAACCTGCCTGGCCTTGGTTGCCTGAACAATAGCAGGTATGGGTTGTGTGATGAAATCATGGCACATATTTACTGTCATGTCCTAAGCCAACACCTTTCCTAAGTTTTTAGGGACATTAACTCATCTAATACTCCCAACAACCCTGCAAGGTGGCTACTATTACAGCCCCTCTTTTAGAGATTTCCCCCTTTAAGGAAACAGGCACAGAGTTTGCTCAGGATCATGTAGCAGGATTGGGCTTTGAACCCAGGAGGCTTGGTTACAACGCATGCTTTTTTTTTAAATAGGTGAAATTCACATAACAGAAAATTAACCATTAACATTTTAAAGTGTACAATTGAGTAACATTTAGTATAGTCACAGTGTTGTACAATAATCACCTCTTTTTAGTTCCAGGGCATGTTCATCACCCCAAAAGGAGTCTGAACCCATTAGCAGTCACTCCCCAGTCCTCCATTCCCTCATCCCCTACTGGCCTCTAGTCTTCTTTCTGTCTCTATAGTTTTACCTGTTTTGGACATTTCATAGAAATGAAATCTCACAATATGTGACCTTTTGTGTCTGGTTTCTTTTACTTAGCTTCATGTTTTCCAGGTTCATCCATGTTGTAGCGTGTATCTGTACTTGATTGCTTTTTATGGCTGAATAATATCCCATTGTATGAATAGACCAGAATTTGTTTATCCATCCATCAGTTGGTGGACATTTAGGTTGTTTCTAGGTTGTTGGGCTACTGTGAATAATGCTGCTATGAGCATTCATGTATAAGTGTCAGTTTTCAATTCTTTTGGGTATACATCTCAGAGTAGAATTGCTGGGTCATATGATGACTCTATATTTAACTTTTTGAGGAACCGCCAGACTATTTTCCATAGTGGCTGTGCCGTTTTACGTTCCCACCAGCAGCGTCCAGGAGTTCCATTTTCTCTATGTCCTCACCAACACTTGTTATCTTCCTGTTTTTGATTATGGTCAACCTAGTGGTTGTACAGTGATATCTCATTGGGTTTGACATGCATTTCCCGAATGACTGATGGTATTGAGCATTAGAGCCTGGGGTCTTAATCTCTCTGTTATACTGTATGTCGGGGGCAGGGCCGTCAAATACCACAACTGAGAGTACTTTGTTATGAGTAGGTGGGGGTGAAGTGAGCAAGAAGTTTTCAAGCCTCATGATTGAGTAATGGAAGCCTTTTGAAATCTACAACAAATTGTTTCCTTGTTATAGTGTCTGAGCTTTCTCATGGCTGAGCCATGCCATATCACAGTATATGAAACCCCCCCGACAATTCACCCAGGGGTAGGCTGCTTTTGCCTTGTTTTTGTCCCCCCGCCCCCCCCCCCCGCAAATCCTGGATTCTGTTCTATGTGACTCTTCCTGCCCACTAAAGATCAAATCACCCTGGAATTAAAAAAACCTGGCACTTCACCTAGTCTAGTATTTATCCATACCACCAACATTAGAATCAATTGAACTGCTTGTTAAAAAACACAAATTCCCGGGGAGCCTGGGTGGCTCAGTGGGTTAAGCGTCTGCCTTCAGCTCAGGTCATGATCCCAGAGTCCTGGGATTGAGCCCTGAGTCGGGCTTCCTGCTCAGCAGAGAGTCTGCTTCTCCCTTTGCCCGTCCCTCCTGTTTGTGCCTCTCTCTCTTTCTCAAATAAATTAAAAAAAAAAAAAAAGCAACCAAACAAAAAACCCTCACAAATTCCCTGGTCTCCACTCTAGCCCTTGCTGAATCCACACCTCTAGGGTGGGGTCTGGGAGCCTGCATTTTCATAAGCTCTCCAGGTGGTTCTAGTGCCCACGGACATGTCCCACTGACATGTCAGAACCACTGTTTCAGGGGCTGTTAGTCATTCACACATGCATGTGAATTAGTTCTAGCAGATTGCCCATTACTCCAAAATCTGGGTTGATAGCAACTCCCCTGAGGGACCAAAGGGAGGACAGACAGCTGTCAAACCCTGGAGTACTCCACTATCTGGGGAAGCTTGGGGGCCCAAAGCCACTGGGAGGATTTGGAGGAGGGATTGGAAGAAGCAGAGGATGCCACAGACACAGAAACTTACCCCTCCTGGACCTTAATGATTCTGGCTTCCAGACTCTGGGACACAGAGGTCAATTATTAATATCAGTTAAATAGACAAGCCTGGGAACCAATCATAGAATCCATTTTCCCCTCAAAGAGATCTTACCCAAGTTTTAAACACCTAACCTTAAATGAGTTCACGGGGCATGACCCTTCTATTCTGTGGCATGGCTAGTCCCAGTAATTGCACAAAGGAAACTCTCCATGGTTTTGGGTTATTTCCACCTGGACACTTAAAGGCATGTTCTAAATCCAGCCAGCAGCTAGGGACCACTAATGACCCAGCAGAAATTTCCACTGCCCCTTTGGTTCCTGCTTCCTGCTGCTCAAGGCTCTTTATCCTGGTTAAGGGCCAGTTTTGGAATGTGGGCAGAACAAGACAGAGGAGGGAAAAAGCTAAGAAATGAACAGCTGCAGGGAGTGGCAATCAGTTTTACTAAAATTGCATTTTCAACTCTGGAGACAATCAGGGACGGGGCTAGAAAAGCTGCGTGAAGGCAACACTGTTGACCATGCCTGGAGTTCCAGTAGCTGCAAAGGAACTGGTTTCACTTGGGTCAGATGACGCTGTCCTCACTACAGTATGATGCTACAGAAGGGGGGCTGCTCTCAGAGGCGAGACATCTGGTTTTGGTTTTGGCTCTTGTAAGCATTTGCTCTCTCTCTGGGACTCAGTTTTCCCCTCTGTAAAATGAGAGGGTTAATGATTTCCAAGGGCCTTTCTGGCTTTATCCATTCTGAGAGTCTGTCATCCATGTCATTTCAATGTCTGTGATGTGGGTAATTATGCAAGTTAAACAGGAAGTAGGATGAGCTCTCCTAGAGAACGTGATTCCTGCTGCTTGCTAATTATGCTTTTATCAGGGTACAATGCATACACCCACACCATGCCAGTTATGGCAAGGTGTGGGTAAATTCACCCAACCAAGCCTTTCAAGTGTGGGAACCAACCCAGCTAGATTCAACTCCTTTCTCTTGATTCTCAGAGACTGACATTTATTTATTTCCCAAATCACTTCAGGGTGAATTTAGGAAACCATCAATTCCAGTGTTTGATCCAAATCCTCTCTTTCTCAGACATTTTGAGCCAAGTATTATCCTTGATTGTCCCATGGCATTTACAGCTTAGGGGACAGGGGAGAGAGAGTTAAAAAGAGAGAGAGAGCATGTTCTGGGGTGCCTGCAATGCTCACAGGCACCTTCTCTTAGAATTGCCCTACTTACAGGCCTTGCTGAGAGGCAGGTCTAGGCACCATATTTGTAACATGTGGCATCTCCTCCCCACATTCAGTTGGTTGGTGAGAAACCCAATTCTCTCTCTCAAGACTTAAACCAAGAGATGTAGTAACTAGTCTACTGGTTGTGGGCTCCGAGCAGCCTACCATGATGGGCCTTGGGCAAAAAGAGAAAGCTGGTTGTGAGTGAGTGAAGCAGAGACAGGAAAGTTCCTGGGGCTGATTAGAAGAACACTGGGCTTCTGAGAGCCAGATACATAAGGTCTGGTTTCTCTAAATCCATTTTCCATTTTCTCTGATTGTCTCTCATTTGGTTCCCTTGCCTGACTGCCTGTTAGAGCCTTGCAGGGCAGTCCTTTCCCTTGAGCTAGTGTGAAAGTATTTCTGTGTTTTATGGCTGTTTTTCCCCAACATAACTGGTGATCAATGCTCTAGTAGATGCTGAATAAAGTGCAGTGGGAACACAGAAAAGAGGGGATCA